GGGGTTGGGGGGGGGGGGGGGGAGTCACCTTGCCCCACCTACAGTCTGCCAAATCACCCAAACTGGCGGGGGAAGGGGCTTCTGGGCAAGGAATCCCTCTCCCACTGGGGCTTCTGGGGGGACCCTTCCCTGCATTTCCAAGCAGCAGGTGGATGGAGTCACCCAGACTTGGGCCGGCTCAGAACCTGCACCCCAGAAGCGTGGGAACAAGGGCCCAGACTGCCGGAGGCTCAGGCCCCAAGCTGACTCCCACCTAAGGGAGAGTTGAGGGCAAATTCTTCCAAGACTGCCAGGCGGTGAAGATCTGGGGCGGGGGGGAGCAGCACAAGGGTACCTGGGATGGCTGGTGCTGCTGCGATTGCCCTCAGGCAGTGATGGAAGGCAGAAGGCAGGGAGCAAGGGATGCTAGGCCAGGCGAGGAGAAGTGAGAACTGATACGTTCCAACTTACCCTGGACAGATCCACCTGGTATCTCCTGCTCACTTCATCCAGAGACAGCTTGTGATCGTCCTGCCAGGGGAGAGGTGAGGGAAGGTCAGGGTCAGCGAGAGCCTAGCAAGGCAGCTGAATGTCCTGGGAATGGAATCAGATCCGAAAGGCCATTCCGGCAGAGCGCTGGCCCCTGGCCCATTGGTGCCTGCTGTCCAGGACTTCCTGGGGCGAAGCTGTCACTCTGAGCTACAGGGCAGGGAGAGCCCAGCCACCCACAGGACACAGGGTAAGCACGTTTGGAGTGTAGGAGACATTGTTCACCTGTGGAACTCTCCTTCATCCACTCACCCACCTGCTCCATCCATCCATCTATTCAGCCAGTCTTCTGAACCATCCATAGAATCAAAGAAAAGAGTTGCAGGACTGGAAGGGACCTCAAGAGGTCATTTAGTCCAGTCCCCTGCCTCACAGCAGGACTGAGTATTATCTAGATCAAGGGTGGGGAACCTCAGGCTCGGGGGCCGAATGAGGCCCCCAGTTTGCCTGGATCTGGCCCCTGAGGCTCAGGACTCCAGCCGCCCCCGCACTGCCTCACCACAGGACTAGAACACACTAAAACTACTACAGGAACCCCCCAACTTCCAACCACCTTGTTACGACCCCCCGCACTTACAACCATTTTTTTAAGTGCAGAAGGGGCTGAAAACCCCCGACTTATGTCCTTGGTCCACATTTACAACGACGCCTATCGTAAATGAAGGTTCGAGTTACGACGCCCCCGACTTGTGATGCGTCCCCAGGAACCAATCACGTCGCAAGTTGGGGGCCGCCTGGAGCCTGGGCGCACCTGGAGTGTGGGGGGAATGTGGGGAGTGTCTTTCTTCTTCTCAGTCAGGGACCACATGAGTGAGGATTTGGGGTGGTTTTTTTGTTTTTTTGCTTTTGCTTCTTGCTTGTGTGCAGCCCCCAACTGATTTTTCTGTGCGCCAGCAGCCCCTGACCCAAAAATGGTTCCTCATCCCCTGAACTAGACCATCCCTGGCAGGTGACTGTCTAACTTGCTCTTAACAATCTCCAGTGACAGAAATTCCACAACCTCCCTAGATAATTTATTCCAATGCTTAACTACCCTGACAGGTAGGAAGAGTTTCCTAATGACCAACCTAAACCTCTCTTGTGCCAACTTAAGTCCATTGCTTCTTGTCCTATCAGCACCGGTTCATGAAAATAGTTTTACTCCCTCCTCCTTGTAACAATCTTACTTGAACACTGTTATCATGTCCCCTTTCAGTCTCCTCCTGACTTAAAAAATCTCATTTTTCACTATTCCCTCATACGAAGAGTTTCCTAATGACCAACCTAAACCTCTCTTGTGCCAACTTAAGTCCATTGCTTCTTGTCCTATCAGCACCGGTTCATGAAAATAGTTTTACTCCCTCCTCCTTGTAACAATCTTACTTGAACACTGTTATCATGTCCCCTTTCAGTCTCCTCCTGACTTAAAAAATCTCATTTTTCACTATTCCCTCATACCTCGTGTTTTCCAGACCTTTAATCATTTTTGTTCCTCTTCTATGGACTTTTTCCAGTTTGTCCACATCTTTCCTGCAATGTGGTGCCCAGAAGTGGTCTCAATTCACCAGGGCTGTGTCCAGACTCAGGGTTTTTTTCGGGAAAAGTAGCCTTTTTCCGAAAAAACTTCCCCTGCGTCCAGACTCAAGCCGCGTTCTTTCGAAATTAAATCGAAAGAACGCGGCTTTTCTTTCGATGGCGGTAAACCTCATTTCACGAGGAAGAACGCCTTCTTTCGAAAGTTCCTCTTTCGAAAGAAGGCGTTCTTCAATGTAAATAGGGCTTCTTCGAAAGAGAGCATCCAGACTCACTGGATGCTTTCTTTCGAAAAAGCAAGCCGCTTTTTCAAAAGTTCAACGTGCAGTCTAGACGCTCTCTTTCGAAAGAGCCTCTTTCAAAAGAGGCTTGCAGTCTAGACATAGCCCAGCTGAGGTCAGCGTGGACTAGAGCAGAAGAATTATTTCTTGTGTCTTACTTACAACACATCCCAGAATCATGTTTGCTTTTTTGCAGCAGTGTTACACTGTTGACCCATATTTAGCCTGTGGTCCACTATGACCCCCACATTCTTTTCCCCATTCATCCTTCCTAGACAGCCATTTCCCATTCTCTATGTGTGAAACGGATTGTTCCTTCCTAAGGCTAGGTCTACACTACAACTCTTTTTCGTAAAAAGCTATGCAAATTGCGCTCTGATTGGTTTTGTGGAAGAGGCTTTTTTGTAGACGGGGCCAAATGGCGGAAAAGCCTCTTTCGGAGGAGCCCTTATTCCTCGTGAAATAAGGAATACAGGACGCCACGAAAAAGCGCACCTGCTCTTCTGCAAAAAAAAAAAAGGAAGAGCAGACGTGTTCCCTGGATGTGGCGGGGTTTAAACCCTGCAATGTAGACGTACGCTAAGTGGAGTACTTTGCATTTGTCCTTATTGAATTTCACCCTCTTTCCTTCTGACCATTTCTCCAGCTTGTCCAGATCATTTTGAATATTAACTTTATCCTCCAAAGCACTTGCAACTCCTCCCAGCGTGATATCATCTACAGCAGGGGTGGGGAAGTTCCCCCAGCTTGCCTGGATCTGGCCCTGGAGGCTTAGGGCCCCCCCCTGCACTGGGGAGCCTGCGCTCCAGCCCCTCTACTGCCCTACTACAGGGCTGGAGCACACAGAATCTACTAGGCTGGGCCCCTCTAAGCTCTGGTGTGGGAGGGGAATGTGGGGAATGTCTTAGTATCTTTCTCCTTCTCAGTCAGGGGCCATGTCAGTGAGGTTTTTTTTTTTCTTGCTTCTCACTTGTGTTTTTTTTTTTCTTGCTTCTCACTTGCTTCTCACCTCTGACTGATTTTTCTGTGGATCAGTGACCCCCGACCCAAAAAAGGTTCCGCACTCCTGATCGACAAGGCTGGCTCGAACCATTCCTGTGCCACGGGCAGTGGGCGCATGACGCATGCGCAGCTCCGCCCCTGGGTGTCTGGTGCATGCGTGGCCCTGCCCCCCCGGTGCACGGCACACCTTACAGCTACAATCAGTCGTGCGGCTCCTGATTGCAGCTCTAAGGGGCACTGTGCAGCCCCTGACCCCGGGTGCATGACGCCCCTTAGAGCTGCCATCAGGTGCCCCCATAGGTTGTCGCCCCGGACAGCTGCCTGGCTAGCCCTCCCGCCCCCATGTTATCTACACCACTGATGAAAATATTGAACAGAATTGGACCCAGAAAGTTCTTCGGATGTTCCCTACATGATATGCCCTTCCACTTTGACTATGAACAGCTGATAACTACCCTCTGGTTGGTTTTGCAGATACAGGCTAACATGGCTACTCCTCTGAGGCTAGACTACAAGTTTTTGTTGGAAAAAGGTATGCAAAATGCACTCCATATTTTGTGTACCTTTTCCTGATTCTTTTGTTGGAAGAGGCTTTTCCGACATTTGGCCCGTCTAGACTGGGCCAAATGTTGGAAAAAAAACCCTCTTTCGGAAGCCCCCTTCTTCCTCGAAGAACATGGAATACAGGGGCTTCTGAAAGAGCGAGTTTGCTCTTTTGCAAAAAAAAAAGCAGACAAGCAAACACATTCCCTGGACACGGTGGAGTTTTTTTGGGATACCTCTGGTATCCCGAACCCCTCCCTAGTGTAGCTGTACCCTGAGAGTTTCCCAACCAGTTTTGCACCTACTGTATAGTATCTTCATTGTATTTCCCTGGTTTGTTTCTGAGAAGGTCCTGTGAGACTGTATCAAAAGCTTTACTAAAGTCAAGATACACCACGTTACCACTCCCTCCATTCACAAGGCTTGGTTAGCCTGTCAAGGAAAGATGTTAGGTTGATTTGACATGATTTGTTCTTGACTAATCTATGCTGTTATTTATCACCTCATTATCTTCCAGGTGTTTGCAAACTGATTGTTTAATTATATGCTCCATTATCTTTGCCAGTATTGACTTTAAGACAACTAGTCTGTAATTCCCCCTGGTTGTCCTTTTTTATAGATGGGCACTAGACCTGCTCTTTTCCAGTCTTCTGGAATCTCTCCCAACTTCCATGACTTTTTGAAGGTAATTGCTAATGGTTCAAATATCTCCTCAGTTGGCTCCTTGACAAATTGAGGATGTATTTCATCAGGTCCTGGTGATCCGAAGATCTCTAAAATGTCTACATAATTTCCAGCTTATTCATTCCCAATTTTCACTTCAGCTCGTGCCTCATTTTCACGGGCATTCCCCATGTTAGATGCCCAATTCCTATTAACCTTTTCAGTGAAAACTGAAACAAAAAAGTCATTTAGCACTTCTGCCATTTCCTCCTTTCCCCCCCTCACTGAGTAGTGGTCATGCCCTGTCCTTGGTCTTCCTCTTGCTTCTAATGTATTTGTAGAATCCAGCCAGCAAGTCACCTACACCATCTGTCCATCCATCCACCTGCACCATCCATTCATCCTTCCATCTGCTGTTTCTGCCTCCAAGCTCCTTGGTGTCTGACGCTAGGTGCCGATCCCCGGGGTAATGAGCAAGATCGGGGAAGAATGGGAGGAAACAACCTCACGGTCACTTAAGCATGGGGATGTCCTACCTTGAGAAGGCCACAGGTCTAAGACCATCCCAAACCAGGCACTGGCAGCCCAGCCCCCCACCAGTGCCCATGGGATGGAGCAGATCCTTACCATGTTCACCTCCTTTTTCAGCTCGTCCAGCTCCTTCTCCTTCTGCTTCTTCTTGCCGCCGCCATTCTCTGAGGTGGTTGCCGCCGGCGAATATTCCCGCCCAGCCTGCCGGGGAGGGGGTGAGAAAGGGGGTGTATTTACCATAGTGGGAAGGGGACCCTGCATGCCACATAGACCAAGGAGGAGCAGGGGGGTTTTGGCAGCCATGTGGCACCAGGGTCATGACCACGCATGGGAGCCTGGGACTGGCTGGGCTGTGGCCACCCATTGGTGGGCAAGGGGGGGCCAGGCTGCATTTGGGGGGCCCTGACATTCAGAGGCCTATGTGGAAGCTGAGCCCCTGAACGCTTTGGCGATGTTCTGATCCAGGACCAAGCCAGCGCATCGCCCGGCAGAAGGCGCTGGGTGCCAAGTGGGAATGGGCTCAGGGCAGACCACGGCCCTCCAGGTCCCCAGATGGGACGTCAGTGCCCAAGAGAACCCAGCTCCAGCCACCCGGCAGCCCAAGGGCCCTGCCCCCGGAGGCTCTGGTCCTCAGATTAAACCAAAGCAGGCCTCCCAGGAGCAGCCTCTCCTGCAGCCCGGCGGAGAGACTGAGATTCCTGGTTTCTCTCCCCCACACTCGCCATGGAGGGTCAGGCCAGTGGAGGGGAAAACACATACAGGAGACTCATGAGTGGAAGAGGGGGAGTCGTGTTCCCTCTCCCCACCTGTCTGCAAGAGATCAGAAAAGGGGGAGCACTGCCAGGAGCAGGGGAATGGGTGTTTCCTCGAGCTGCCCCGGCTGTGGGTCTCTGCACTGCGCTTAGAGTGAAAGCTGTTTGGGGCCGGGGTTGTCTCTTTGTTCTGTGTCTGTGCAGCTCCTAGTGCCACCGGGGCCTGGTCCCTGGGCGGGGCACTGAGGTGCTCCTGTAATACACCTAATAAATAATGTACAGTGCCTAGCGCGGGGCTGTGTGTGTGACTGCTCTGTGGCTGGGGCTCCAACACGAACCGCAATGCACCTAATAAATAACCCACAGTGCGTAGTTCTGAGGGCTCCTGGTGCATGTCTGGGGCTCTGCACCGCTACCATAACACAGTGACTAATCATAATCATTGGGCTCTGGTGAAGGAGGCTCTCTGTGTCCCCAGGGCTGACTCTCCCCAGCCCCAATCGCCGCATCACGGTGCTAGAGAAGGGAGCAAGTCTCCAGGGTCTGCTCACTCCATGGCCTCTCTGCCGCTCAGGATTGGGTGTTGTGGAGGGTTTTGCCCCAACACACCAGGCTGAGACCTGCCAACTCGTGTCACGGTCCAGGCCCGGCACAGCCGATTGACTTGGGCATATAGAACACTGCTGGGCACAGGTGTCTCGGTGTCATCCCAGCATTCAGCGACCCTCGCAACAAAGAGACCTGAGCAGCCTTCCCTAAAGACCCATGTGGGGAGGCTCCATGGGCACCGGGATCCCAGGCAGGCCTCTGCCCCTCCCTGCCTCCAGCTCCCGGCGTTTATCTACTGTGGGGCTGGCAGCTCAGGGTAAGCCCAGTTGTTGTCCCAGAACCAAGGGGGGAAGGAGGGTTCGAAGAGCCACTATCAAGGTAAAATGGTCCTTTCCCCATGACCAGCTGCCCACCCCTCACAGTGCCCCTGAATTAGAGCTGGGGGGCTGCATTAGACCCCATATCCTGGGGGAAATGGCAGCCAGTCCTGCCCTGGGACCAGATTGGAGCCACAGCCCCCCTTAAAGGGGAAAGGCCTGTGGTCCCCCACACTTACGGCAGCCAATCCCCTGTCCTGGAGCCAATCCCCTGTCCTGTGAGGGGTGGATCAGAGCTGGCAGCCCCAGAAGGGAAAAGGCCCCTCTCATGGCCACCCCCTGACTTGCCCCTGCACCAGCTAGCTCCTGTGCCCCCTGGGCATTTTAACCCAGCCCCCAAAACACACCCTAAATGGAGCCTGAGGATCGGAGCTGACCTGTGTGAGAGCTGGGATTGCAGCATTTCTGCCTTGTACACAATGTCACGGGCCACTGACCTTCCCCGTGGAACGAACAGGGTGTGTGTGGGGGTGGGTTATACTATGACCCCCCCCAACCGCCTCACAGTGGGGTCTGTGGTGCTCAGATGAGACAAGCGGGCCCTGGATCTTTATTGTGATCTCTAGTTTTGGATGGGGCCAGTTGTCCCCTCACAGTCCTTTGGACCAATGTCTCAGGGCCAAGAATGGCCAGCAACACTGGCCTGCACTCAGGCTGTTGCTAGGTGCTCAGCAGAGTGAGGAGGGCAGAGCAGGGGCATCTCCATGAAGAGGACCAGGGGGACCAAGCTGCAGCTGGCTAAGAAGTGGGCTGTGGGGGAGAGGGGTTCTGTTCTTGGCTCACCTGCTGGCTCTCCCCTACTCTGAGTTTGTACGGCACAAGGGGACCCCATCTTTGGTAGGTCCTTACGCACTGGCCCTCCCGTGCCTCAGTTTCCCCATACGGAAATAGCGATCCCACCCTTACCTCTAATGTGCTTTGAGAGCTAAGCCTGAAAAACATGCTAAGAGCCAGGGGATCGTTACTCTAGGGGCTCAGGCTGTCATGGCTAGGTTCCCCCCCTCCATGCCCTCACCCCAACACTCAAACTGGAGTTGAGCTTAGATTTTGGCAACTTCCTCCCTCATGCAGGGCTTGACACTAACACCTGGGGCTGGGTCGTGGGCCAAACTCCTGAGTTTGCCTCTGAGCTCTGCCACTGACTTGTGACTCAGGTGAGTCACTGTGATGCTCTGTGCCTCAGTTTCTCCACTCTGTACAGTGAAGGTGATCCTGATTCCTTTCCTGGGGGGTGAGGCTCAGCTGGTGCATTGTGGGAAGTGCTTTGAGATCCTCAGCCCTGGTTGCCCTGCCCCCATGGTCTGATAGTGATGCTCTAGAAATGGCAGACAGCTCCATGCAGAAGCCCCAGGGCCAGAGTGCCAGGAGAGAGGCTATTCCTATTGCAGCATCCCCAAGCACAGCTGGAAACTGCAACAGGATTCCTGCTCTCTGGAGCTGCCTGCCCTGGTCTGTGAGCCTAGTCCCTCCAATTCACCTCACGCTAAGCAAGCAACACATGGAGGGCTCAGGACAGTGCTGCGTGGGACCCTGCTGTCCTGACATGGACAGCTGTGCCCTGGATGCTATGCCAGTGACTTCACCCTCCCCAGGGAAGCTCAGCCAAAGCAGGGACACACTCCCCTGGTTCCTGCTGCTCTGGGCCAGTGGCTGTGCCATGGGTGGCTCTTGGTTCACCTCACGCTAAGCAAGCAACACATGGAGGGCTCAGGACAGTGCTGCGTGGGACCCTGCTGTCCTGACATGGACAGCTGTGCCCTGGATGCTATGCCAGTGACTTCACCCTCCCCAGGGAAGCTCAGCCAAAGCAGGGACACACTCCCCTGGTTCCTGCTGCTCTGGGCCAGTGGCTGTGCCATGGGTGGCTCTTGGGGTCCTTAGTGCAGGTTTGGGGGGGGGGGCTGGGGAAGAGGCTCTCATGCCCTCTCTCTCCCCAGGCCAGCAGGGCACAAGGGAGCCCAGCAGGGTATGGCCCCCACAGGTGAGGTGGGATGGAAAACGGGGACCGGAGCACAGATTGTGGGAGCGGGGCCAGGCAGGCGGGAGAGCAGCATGTATTCAAAGGCAGAAAATAAAGAGGAGCTCAGCTCTCTGCTGTCATGGAAAAGTCCCCCCAGTGCCAAGAACAACTGCTGTGAGTAAAGGGTCAGGTTACGGGCGGGGGGCGGAGGGGGGAGGAGGAAAGGAGAACGGAAGAGAGGCATTGAAACCATTAGGAACCCTTAAAGCAGGCCCAATTTGGGGACAGTCCCTGGGGCAAAGCCAGCCAGCCGAGTATTACCCCCCATCTGTCACAATGATGCATTTTCTGAGCATGGCTCCCTCCCCCCAGCCACACTGGGAGGGCACATTCTGCCCAGCCCCAGTGTGATCTTGGGGGCGGGGCACTCAACACGCCCCACCCCGTGACTGAGGGCACATTCTGCCCAGCCCCAGTGAGATCTTGGGGGGCACTCAACACGCCCCACCCCATGACTGAGGGCACATTCTGCCCAGCCCCAGTGTGATCTTGGGGGGCACTCAACATGCCCCACCCTGTGACTGAGGGCACATTCTGCCCAGCCCCAGTGTGATCTTGGGGGGCACTCAACACGCCCCACCCTGTGACTGAGGGCACATTCTGCCCAGCCCCAGTGTGATCTTGGGAGGGGGCACTCAACACGCCCCACCCCGTGACTGAGGGCACACTCTGCCCAGCCCCAGTGTGATCTTGGGGGGCATTCAACACGCCCCACCCCGTGACTGAGGGCACATTCTGCCCAGCCCCAGTGTGATCTTGGGGGGCATTCAACACGCCCCACCCTGTGACTGAGGGCACATTCTGTCCAGCCCCAGTGAGATCTTGGGGGGCATTCAACACGCCCCACCCCGTGACTGAGGGCACATTCTGCCCAGCCCCAGTGTGATCTTGGGGGGCATTCAACACGCCTCACCCCGTGACTGAGGGCACATTCTGCCCAGCCCCAGTGTGATCTTGGGAGGGGGCACTCAACACGCCCCACCCTGTGACTGAGGGCACATTCTGCCCAGCCCCAGTGAGATCTTGGGGGGCATTCAACACGCCCCACCCCGTGACTGAGGGCACATTCTGCCCAGCCCCAGTGTGATCTTGGGGGGCACACTGCACAGGCTTCTCTAATTTCTGCACCAGGCACTGGGCCTCTCCCTTTGCCCTGTATCACTGGAGCTAACCCCTTTTCCCCGGGAAGGAGGGCACGCGCGGCCTTGAATTCCAACATGCCAGGCCTCTCTCCTCTGGCCCCTCTCCTGGGAACAGGCTGTAAGGGAGGGAGAGCGCGGGAGACAGCTGCAGGCCCAGGGGGATCTGCAGTGGTGGAATGAGAGCCAACCATTTCAGAGGCAGCCCCAGCCCGTCTGCTCACCCCCCTCCCCAAGGTACGGAACTCACGGGCATATCCTGCTCTGAGCCTGGATCTGGACAGCTGGCTCCTTAAGGAGACAGGGTGGGAGGCTGGTGTGCCCCCTCTTAAAGAGTCTCAGATTTGCCACCTCTGGCCCATAT